AAATTTTATGATCTTAATTTTTTATAAAATTACATACATACTCGTATTGTGTTGTACTAAGTACAATTATTAAAAACAATGAAACCGAAAATTAAACTATACCAATTTTATGATTTTTTCACAAACTTTGAAATTTTGGCAGAACACTTTCTAATAGTTAGACTAATATCGAACTAATGTAACGAATTCTCTATTTTAATAGTGAATTTTACTTCTATTTCTATACAAATATAMAATATTTAAGAATCGAGAAAGTCCATATTTAATTTTGTTATTTAATAAAATCATGCAAATTTATTCTCAATATTTTCATATTGTGGAGGAACAATTTATAAAGAACTTAATATTTTAATTTATATATTACATTTTATAAAATTTTCATTGCAATTAAAAGCATTGTTTTTATTATACACAATTTGAAAAAAAAACTAAAAAAAGGTCAAAATTTTAGATTTCGAGCGGAGCGATGAATATATTCATTTTACAATTATGTGTTTTTTTTGTGTCTGTGTACGCGATAAGTTGTTGAAATAGTACTTCGATTTTCAACTTCAGGAGCATTTCCAGTTGGAAAGTGAATCTAGTCGGTGGATTGAGGAGGTCAAATTTTTAATTCCCAGTAGTTTTCAAAAACACAGGAAAAACAAAAAAAAAAATTAAGGGAAAACGGGAATTTTTACGCAATATCAATTTTTGAGAAAATCGATTTTAAACATTGGTGTAACCTAACCGTAGAGAAGTGAAATTTTCACTGAATGTTTATACTGGTATTTTCTAGCCTTGATAAAATTTTCAAAACTTTTCATATATTTGTAAGTTATTTATAGACGTTTGAAGTTTTAAATCTTTAAAGTTTTGTTTTTATAAATTACAATAAAATTTTATTCGTTGGCGTAAAGCTTCAACATTTAATACAAGGCTCCTAATATATTGTTACAATGGTAATTAAAAAATATTAAAAATACATAGTCACAATTTTTTTTAATAAGATTTTTTTGAAAGATCGACAAAATATTTAAAAATCATGAAAATTTGCAATTTATTTTGAGTTTAAAATTCATAAAAATGTATTATTTTTAAATATAAGATTTGAAAATTCAATACAAGATTCTACATAAGTTTGTCTACTTTTATCAATTAAAAAATGTCTACCGGACACCGGACAGTCATATTAAATTTTTATGAGTATTTGAATTACAATATTGGATATTCACTCGATTTCTCTTGTACCAACATTTTTATTTTGCTGTTATTCAAAAACGAATAACTGTAGAAACTTCAAATTTACACCACATGTTTATTTTATCAATTCCTATACTTAATACAATTTTCTATGTATTTCAACAATTTTTAAGTTATTCATAAACACAAGAAATTTTCCATTTNTTACAATAGCGGTTGAAAAATAAAAGAAATATATAGTCACAATTTTTTTTTTTATAAGCATTCGTAGTTTGAATTTTGACAACATACGTAAAAATCATGATAATTTGTAAATTATTTTGAGCTAAAAATGCATAAAAAATTTTCTTTTTAAATCCAAGATTTGAAAATTTTTAATAATCTATAATATATCCTAGGCAGATAAACCATCTCCGCTCAGAATCGTTTTTCGTATACAATGATATAGTATCATTGGATTCAAATTTAATTCCATCCATTAAAGTAACCCACTGGTAACCTACTGTACACTGTATAGCATAGCGACATCCACGACTTACCCGCTTTTTTATAAATGTACTTATATAAATTGTTTTATTCTATAACTATTATTTTAGGTCGACGGTATAAAAGACAAATGTTTACGCTCTGAGGATGAAGATATTATAACACATACAAAAAAGGTAATATGTCAACTATTCAATATTATTTAGGATTTAAGTAATTCAAGGAAAAAATAATTAATCTATCTATAAAGTATGTATATTTCATTTTAATTTATTTAAGTGAATTTTCAAGGGTGACACATATTGCATTTTTTATACATATTATGTGATTTATATTATAATACTAAATTACATATACAGCTAGGAAGTAAGCAGATAAATTATAAAACGTATTTGTTATATTACCTATATACTTTTTTTTTTTAGAAAAAACAGAAATTAAAATTGTTGAAAAGCGGAAATAGCATAAAAATGAACGATAGAGTAATACATTACTTAATTACGAAAAATAATCAACATCTGAGCAGCACCGGTATAACAGGGAAAATTCCGGTATTAATAATTTTTCCATTGATGGTTTTGATTTTTTTACTTCTAATGATATATTTATAAATTTTTCTATTATATAATGTAATTGCTATTTTACTCATCATAACTATTCATGTAAATCTTATTGTTTCATACAAATATATGATTTATTAAATTTAGTATCATGTTATAATGTATTGTATTGGTGTCAATTTTTTTTAAACATGATTTATAAATAAATTTTAAGCGAAATTTAATATTTCAAGTTGTCTAATAAGTTGCCTATTTGAAAAATGTTCAGGTGTCATTAAATGCATCTAAATAATGGATTATTTAAACATTCTAGACCAGTAATTCTTAACCTTTTTAGAACCACGGAACACTTATAATTTTATAAAATTTTTGCGAAGCACTAGGTCGTAAAGACGTAACACAAAACAATACTTTTCATTTTTTTTTTTTTT